CGATCTGAAGTTTAACTGGACCTGAAAACCCTCATCAGCGAAATCAGTTGACTCACGAAATTTACTTGTAGGATGCCCGCCGAATCATTTGGTATATTCCAACCAATCAAGCAATACCGTTATGACGTGAATGTTACTTGTTGCGCAGCTGTCACGTCTTTGTCCGCAATTGGCTTCGTCGGCAGTTCGATTGTCGTTGTCACTCAGTGATCCTTTTACTTCTTGGATTCTTCAAAGGGCTTGAATACCCTTACCCAGGTTTCGGGCGTTTCTACTCCACAGCCTCTTTCATATTACTGTCCACTGCTCGGATCAGTAGAGCTTCTAGTAATAATTATTCAAATAATTACGTTGATCAGGTGATAAGTCTTGCTCCAGCGAAGTCAGTGCGGTGGCTGATAACGATATGATATCACTATCACTTTCTTTAGACCATCTTGACGCGTCACCAATCGAAACCTTGTAGAATAAAGCTCTTTCTCACTGTTAATACGATTACCGCAGTCATAAGCATATCTAAACAAATTAGAATGAATGAAGTTCATTCGCTTGAACAACGGAGTTATCAGCACCAAGTGGTATTTTTGTGCCAGTGAGATAAATGGCAACGTTGAACAAATTGTGTAAAAAAGATAAAGCATTTTTCACTCTAAAACTTGCAACGCTAGGCTTTGTACAGTCACCAGTAGTTTCTGCTCTCCCGAAGCTCTGAAAATTTTGGACATGAAAAGCAGACCTGAACTGTGGTACAGTACGAGCATGGATGGCATTTACAGAACAGATGGTTGTAGGATGCACCGACATTGCCTTCAGAAACTCTTTGCGCAATGGATGATTGACGTCACTCAAAAACGTTCCCCACAAGCACATGGTTGCTTCGATTACCGTAGAAGCTGTGTTGTAGCAAATCTCTGCTTCGCCATTCTCGCTAATGAAAATTATCAGCATAACTGAAAGGCAAAAAATGATATAATGTTTGTTATGGAGTTCAGCGACAACCACAGGTCCGGAATAAGTGATCAGCGGCAGCAAGTGGCCGAAAACAAACAATCGAACCACGTTGCTTGAAAGTTGATCTGAGAGTCTCAGCAGCCTGGGCAAGTAGTAACTTCTGTTGCTCGTCTTCCTGAACCCTGATGCGACGTGATCAGTAAACTTTGACCGATCGTTCAAGTACACGTTCAGATATTTAATGGTGCAAACACAGCCGACGGGTTCATTCTTCATTGTAACTTGTTGACATTACTGTTTCAGAGTTGTTACACAGGCTAACTGAGCACTTGTTTCTTCTGACTGCAGCCATTAACCCATTGGGCCGCAAATCAAGGACGATTCGGATGGTGGCGATAATTACTATATCGTCAGCATACATGATACGTGGGGGGGCAGACGAGTTGAAGCGAACTGAGGTAGAGGTGAAGTAACAGTGTAGACAACAGCGATCTTTGCACGACCATAAAGTTATTCGATGGCACCGAGGAACAACGTCTTCCAGCAGCAATGCACTGGTGTTGATTGAAAGATGGTCCCCAACCACTGAAGAAAAGAAAAAAATATCAACGTTCTGTAAAACGGCTTGCAAGGCACCTCGTACGACGATTTTTAATCCGATGATAAAACAGTAAACAAGGTCCTAGCTGCAGAACCATCTACGTCTGAGGTTGTGGCAAGGAGATACCTGCATCAACTGTCGAACGGTTTTACGCAAATCTTTAAAACTGTAAATTGTTCTTTTATCCGCTTAACTGTCAATAATAGGTTTCACTAGGATTTCGAGTTCATCCGACAGAACGGAGGTCGCTGCGGAGGGTCGATAAACCTCTGATCCAATTGACATTTGTATGTTTATTAGAGGAGTGATTTTTTCTCCTTCGTTTTGGGGTTAAGGCAGCGGTTGTGCAAATTCCGGAGAACGTCAGAACGCATTTTTGCATAGCACAAGAACTTTTGCAGTTACTCCATCACGGTTAGAGGTACAGTTGGACTTTAGGGAAGCGAGATATGGCGCGAAACCTGTTTTTACAGACTAGCGAGTAACAGCGTTGCAAAAACCAATCGCACAGACACGACTAATCAAAGTGCATTTCCATCAACCGATCAGCGAAAAGCTTTGGCATCGTTCAGTCACAATTACGTTGCTCTACTAATCCAATCTAATCAGAATCACCCGGTTTTTTCTGAACTAGACGCTACTGTGCATTAATTAACAACTCTTGCCAAGGAATAAATGGCAATATCTCAAGTCAGCGCTATTGACTGCTGTATATTTAATATATCACCACTGTAGATTTTCTACTTCATCTCATTCTCAGAACTTTCCCTCCTTGCAAATGTTATATTGCCAAGATTTTTTATATTCGTATCGCGATCATCTCAGATCAGGATCCCAAATTTTAGCAATCGCCATAAATCCAGTTCAATGCGAACCGGTAACCTAGTTGCACAGTTCTACGCGGCATTGCGCTAGGCGAATAACAAGTCGTTGACGTTTTAACATACAGAGTGAAATCTGTTCGATCATATATACGCAAAGATCTACATCGCATGGAAACTCCTGGTTGGAAAACGAAACGAAACAAAGCAACCTACTTAAATGGCCCCTTAGCCATCTAGAAGTAAGGGGCGGTGCAGTCAGCTGCTACTGTAAAGTGAAAAATTGATATTTCTTTCTTTACACTATGCATTCGCCGTTTGAATCCAATATCATTATTATTTTTACTGTGATGCATTCAGCGGCGGTATCGATCGCTCCCCAGAACATCGGGGTTCCATTCTGTCAAAGCAACACGCAACACATAAGATATGAAATCAGAAAAGCATCTGCCCTCTGTTCATCAGTCTTCCCTTTACAAGAATAATTTTATTATAAGCATAAATGCATTACACATCATCGAGTAGAGAATAACAACACAGAGTCACATCACTCCTGAGGGTTGCACCAAACACTTGCTTTGATTTCTTAACTCATCCCAGTTGTTAGTTATTTTTAAACGATATCGTCAACAGAAAGCAGTATACACGAAATTTCTATTTATCCTGCCATTAAATATAAAGATAGATAATAGTTTGAAGATATCGTATTTACACCAGCACGCACTTAGATTTTGTGAAGATATGCCGACAACACTTCGCTTATAAGGTTTAACAGATACAGCCATCTTTGTGAATCTGAATAACATCTGAACAGCATCTGCGAAAATCCGGTAAGTGCAGATGCGGGTCATCTGAATGGGTGCCCTGTTTGAGAATGGGGGAACAATCCTCAGATATGGAGCTCAGCTAACAATGGGTATTATCAGGGCATGTCTGAAGACAGTTTCAGCCGTCCGTCACCAATGAAATAACAAACACAAAACCTTATGACGGTTCCACGACGACAAGAATGGCTCGCTAGTGATAAAGTCAGCGATACAACC